ACTGATTATGATTCGTTCTGTCTTTGTCTGTCTTGAGTAAACTGGGATCATCCTAAGTACTCCTATGGTCCAGAGTTGGCAGAAAGCTGTATGATGAAGAAAAGGTGAGAAATGTGAGCAAATTATTGTTTTCTGTCAAGGATACCTCACCTGAGCCACTACATTAATATCCAGGTTTATAAAAGCATGGAAGTCAAGGTTTGGTCTACTAAACGCATAAAATATAATTTATGTAAATAAAAGCGGTCTGTATTATTTCGTTACAATTCCGTAATGCTGCAATCTACGCTTTTATGTTGCGTGTGTGTAAGGCATTTGGTGCAGGTGAAATGAAAACAGCACACAGATCTCCTCTGATATTCTGCCCATCTGATCATTTACACATGCGCTATGCAAGTGTAGTCAGAGAGAAAAGCATAATTGGCTCTTAAGTTATTGATCTTTGAGAGAAAGACTGAAGTTATGGTTCACAGCACATCAAAGAAAGTCGTTTCTCTCACCTTCATCTCTGCATGAAAATGGCATGACAAAGCAGCAGAAAATCTACAGGCTGATCTGCTTTTTGTTTTTTTTTTTCTTCAAATATCAGGGAGGATTTATTTTTTCCTTATTGCATGACATTTTCGAAAGGACAGAGCTGGGACAGGTCCAAGTCTGTGGTGGTCTGCAGCGCTCTAGGGTCCTCAAATTCACCATTCAGACATCCTGTGCTGCAGGACCTTCCCAAATAGCTGCATGCCTCTGGTAATATCTGTCTCTCTGAACCGTGTTCCAAAGGAAACACACGTCGTAGCCAATGCCCCATGTTGGGGAGCAATGGACTGAATGGCCGGCTGTTAAAATGTTCAAAAAAGGTTTCCCCTGGCCAACAGCTAATTACAAGTTGGACTGTCTCTCGTTTTGGAAGTAATTAATTTCCCTGTGTCTGACCGGACATTTAATTATGTGGAAACAGTTGCATTGTACCGCTGTGTGGCGTTGTTGACAGAGGATCCTGAAGCCTCTTTTCATCTTAAGATTCATTAGCAACCAGCACCAGACCGAGAGCAGCTGGTGAGGGTTAGAGTGATGATATAGCGTTTTAGAGATTTTAACTGGAGATAGGTTAGTTGTTCCTATTGGTAAACACAAACATTGTAAATATCCTATTGCTCGGAGTGAAAGTCATGCTTTGTTTTAGTGCCACTGATGTGTTTCGGCCTGTGTGTTTATGTTTTTCTCAGCCAGCGGAGCTCATATTTCATGTAACGTTACGGGAGAATCAGTGTCGCAGGTCGGGCCTGTGTGATCTATCAGATGGTAAGCATATCTGTCTGCTCAGGAGGTCGCTGTGTGGCCGCCATTTCCGCCCCGCTAGCTAATCCCTGGTTTTAGCTGTTCTCTCTTCCTGCAAGGATGTGCTGGTTGGAAGAGACAGGCAGGGGCAGGTGGGTGTGACGGGGGCATTCTGGCGTATGAGGTCATGTCTCTCCAAACCTCTCAGAACATGAGCTGACACAGGCAGACACCTAAAAGTGTGCAGGAACAGTGGATGATTTCACACTGTAAGGATGCTGGTCTACTACCTGGCTGTTAAGGCTTGAGACAATACACAGGTAGCCGTCGCTGCCTTTTACAAATGTGGTTTTCTTGACACATTGACTTTGGGTATGTCAGGGGTGTATGCAGGAGTGGGGCCACAGTGTCACTGGCCCCAGCTGAAAGCTGATTGGCCCCAGGAGTGCCCCCTCCCCTGTCCGTCATCCAATCAAAACATATCATTGGTTAATGATAAGACTGGCCCCTCTGTATGAATTATGGCCCCAATTATGTCCCCACCTTAAAAATCCTAGAATTGCCTCTGGAAATTTACTCAATTCATTGTCCTTATGTCATTTATTAGTCAAGAGAAGTCATTCAGATTAATCTGTCATAAATATTCATGAATATGGCTAGCTAGCTATTAGCGAAGGTGTTGTTGTTAAACATCTGTGTTTCGAAGCACTGCATAGAGGTCACTCTAAGAGCACTCCAGCCAAGCAGGGGTTCGGGAAGCAGAACTTTGTTTTGCTGGCCTGAGTGAGGGATGTGCATGCGAGCTGGATGAATTGGTCAGCTGCCCACATAACGGCTAATTCAGGTCTCGCGAAACGTAGGGAGTGTAGCTGTTGCTGGAACACAATATGGTTTTGCACTTCCAGCAGTTGTCAGAATTAACATGCGGCCATTTTCGGTGAATGTTTATCCAGCTGTGACGGAAAAGGACACACCGCATCGACATATGTGAGGCATCTGTTAGGCTTTCTTGTGTTCCCCATCTTCTGGAAACAGGAAATGATAAATTAGTAAAATGACGTTTGTAATACAGGAGTACATATCAGTGTTGTGTCAAATTCTTTTAATATATTTCCTGATGTGTCACTGTTTTCCTCGGAAACGCCAGAGAATGATAATTAACGATTGCGCACAGCTGCAAGATTAGGGTGGAAAGAAAGTCACGGCTCTTACTCACGTCTCCTCACAAGCGCTCGACGTTCTTGTCCCACCTGTGACCGAAGACTGGCCATGTTTGAGTCAGGGATCCACCACACCCCCCCGTAAAATTCATTTTCCCGGGCCTATCCTCTGGGGCGCCTTTGCGGTCCGCCTTGCCTCGACGTCTGCGGGGTTGCATTTCAGGCTGTAGAGGACAGCTGGGAGTCATTTCCACACTGGGCCCTGGGCTTTGATTTGGGGAGAGTCCATTCCCACAGTGCTGGGGACCAGAACTCATGCTGCAATGCTCCTCTCTCGCAGCAACATCGCCGCCTATGATTTATATTCTCACCAGAAGGATTCAGAGAGGACCTTACAATCTGGCTTGCACTTTAAAATCAGAAACAGTTGTCTGCCCCTCTTTTGGTGCCCCCCCCCCTCACAAGAGAAAGGACTTCAAACGTGCTTCTTGATTAGACCATGATGTCCAAAAGCATTTTGCTAATGCAAAGCTGGGAATGTGGTCTCATGTAGTAAATGGCAAAAGTGAAATGACCTCCCTCTATAGTGTAAATGAACGCGGTGTGTTACCATTGTAATTCAGAGGCAGTCAGACGTCTCCTGCTTTTTAAATACGGAAGACTTTTCCCCATGGTGGCCTCAACGCAGCCCTCTTTTGTGTCACATGACACTCCAGAGTACTTTCTGCATTTAAGGTGTCGCCATTTTGGGCAAAGCTGTTAAACATGCTGGACGGAATTCTGGATTTGAGCGTAATTGACTTAAAATTGGAATCTGCACCAAACTGTACCCATTTTCTGAGGATATGTGGTATTTTGTGGTTCTTAACGCTTCTTCCATGTTATATTCAGGCATTTTGCCACCAGCAAGCTCTTTACTTGGGTGTTCTAGTACCCAGGGCTTGAATATAACTGCCTATTGTTAGCCAGAAGGGGGCAGGATGGAGCCTCCCTCACGATGCGGGAATATTGTTTCAACATATCGCCACCACAACTCGCAGCCGCTGATGCCGTGAACAGACAACTACTGAGCATGCTCTTTACACCCCCCCCCCCCCCCCCCCCCCCCCCCCCCCCCACCCCACCCCATGCATTCCAGTACGAATCAGACAGAAACTCTGTGGCAATGGCTTCATAAGAACAAACAGACAGTTATACCGTTTGGTTTGGTTCAAACAGCATCATCCTTTTGACCAGCATTAGCCTGATATTAGCTCTTATTGGGTGGAAATACCCAATGAAATGCCTCTTTAATGGTGCCTGAATGTGATTGGAGGTAGTGGAGTCTCAGGTACAGCTGCTGGGTATCCTGTCTGCCTGAAAGATACAACAGAATTATTGCTGTTGCCGTCTATGGTGTGGTTAGGTTACATTGTTAAGTTCACTGTGGCAGTGTTCACTGTAGCACAAAACATAAATGTAACCGCAGAAAACATCAATAAACACAAAGCCATGATTTAAAATAATCAATGTTAGCAGGAGTATGTAGCAGCCTGTGTTGTTTACAGCTGGTTCAGCACTAACAGCATGGTTTCTTCTGAGAGATATGGTAGGAAAACCATCAAAAGGCAGTAGCTAACCAGCCTGCTCACTGCTAACCATGACGTGCCAGCTGCTTCCCATGACCAGCTGAGTGGCCACCATGATGTACTGACTGTTAACTATAATGTACTGACTGGTAATAATAGTGTAGTGATTGGTAAGCATGACGTGCTAACTATGGAATTCCTACTGGTTGCTATAGCATGCCGACTGGCTGCCATGGCATTCCGACTAGTTGCCATAGCATGCCGACTGGTTGCCTTGGCATTCTGACTGGTTGCCTTGGCATTCTGACTGGTTGCCTTGGCATTCTGACTGATTGCCATAGCATGCCGACTCGTTCCCATGGTGTGCCGAATGGTTGCCATGGCATGCAGATTGGTTGCCATGGCATGCCGACTCGTTCCCATGGTGTGCCGAATGGTTGCCAAGGCATGATTACTGCTAACTGTGGCGTGGC